CAACACTGATGAACATCGTGCTACAAGAAAGTGTGCTATACAGAATGGTGTATCATTCCAGACCGCTAACTCCCATGAAAAATTACTCCCACTAACAATAAGAACAAGACCACAAATAGGTTTTAGAATGAATTAATTCTTGTTTCATGCTCCTTATTTCCTTTCATGGGGTTTAACACTGCATTCAAGGTCATGAGCGTTGTGACTCCGTGGAGGTGACCTGAGTAATTTACAATGATCAACAGATAATACAGTGACTGGAAGCGAGTCATTCCGTAACTATCACAGTTTTCTAAATGGAGTCATCACATAGCTGCTGAAAAGGAATGTGTATTATATCACACCTACAGAGGGAAGAATGTAATCAGGTAATTAAACCATGTCATTGCTGTGCCTGGAAAGTCTTTATTTATAATTTTATCTTGCCTGTTAAGAAGAACTGAACTTCTTTTTAAGGGTAGAAAATAATTATTCCTAAGCTTTGCTTTTGCAAAAACCTCCACGAAGGAAAAAGGAAATTAGAAATAAAACTCACCAGTTTCTTCGTCTATGCTGAATCTCCCTAGGCCACTGCCGTCCCTGATGGAATACTGGATCTCTCCATCCCTTCCAGAGTCCTCGTCTCGAGCAACAACTTGCAAAACACTTGTACCAATGCGGGAGTTTTCCTTGACAGATCCAATGACGGCAAAGTCAGGAAAATAAGGGGTATAGAGATTTTCATTAACATCCACCACTTCAACTTCCACGAAAGAAACAGAAGAGAGAGAAACCGGGCGCCCCTTGTCCTTTGCGCGCACAGTCAGGTTGTAGAACTGCTGCTTCTCGTAATCGAGCTCTTTGTTCAAGCGGATGGCGCCGCTCGCTTTGTCTATCTCAAACCGCCCGTTGTAATCGTTCACCAGTGAGTAACGGACTTGACCTCCCAAGCCCAGATCTGGATCATGAGTTTCCAACCAAGCTATGACAGTGCCAACTGGCAGGTCCTCAAGAACCTTCACGTTGTAGCTGGATGGTATAAAGGCTGGAGAGCAATCATTGACGTCATCCAAAAAAACCTTCAGAGGTACTACAGAAAACTGCTGATGGCCACTCTCTGCTTTGTCCCTAGCCTCAATCTTCAGTGTGTAGTTCGCTTTTGATTCCCGGTCTAGTTGATCGGCCACGTACACCATTCCTGTGGAACTGTTGATGGCAAATTGCTGGGTGTCTGTCAGTACTGAGTAAGTCACTTCACCATTGGATCCTAGATCTTTATCTCTGGCCTCTACCTGGATAATCTCTGTACCAAGACTTGTACTTTCTAAAACATTAACTGAGTAACTGTCCTGTAAAAAAACAGGCGCGTTATCATTTGCATCCTCCACAGTGACAGTCAACAGTCTCCACGCAGATTTCTGTGGATTACCTAAATCATAAATTGTAATATTAAGGAGATAGAGCTCTGTTTTTTCACGGTCCAAGGGCATAAGAACATTAAGTACACCCGTCTCCATGTCAATGTCGAAGCAACTATCTACATTACCATCAGAAATTGTATAAACTACTCTCCCATTAAAGCCTGAGTCTGCATCATAGGCTTTTATCCTCAGGATGGTGGCACCAACTGGCAGATCCTCTGAAACCTTCACATCGGTAGGGAAGGATTTGTCAAAATGTGGTGCCTGTCTGTTCACCGAATAAAAATCGAGAAAACCATCTTCCAAATTCAGCTTCACATTTGCTTTCGCCTTTTTGAGTAATTTTTCTGCTAGCTTCTGAGCAACTCTAGTTTCTCTACAGCTAAAGGTCTTTGAAGATACTTTCCCATGAACTACCGAAATATTAACAAACATAGCATCAGCAAAGTTCTCTCCATCAGTTGCCGTTATCTTAAGGCCAAAATTGCTGTTCTTTATGCCAGAATTAATTAGAGATTTTTTAAGTTGCAGGACACCAGAGTCAGGATTTAAATAAAAAATGCCAAGTTCATTTCCAGATATTATTTTGTACTTCACAAGCTCTAACTCATCTATGTCTATTGCAGAAACAGCAGTGATGTGACCACCAACGGGAAAATCAGATGAAATCACTCCCTGACACGCCACTTTTTCAAAGAGGGGTTTGTTATCATTGACATTGCCTATGTATATGGTGACATTCACCTCACTTTCATGGCGGTAGGGAGAACCCCAGTCAGAAGCTCTCACAATAAACCTGTAGCTTTCTGGTGAGGACTCAAAATCCAGTTCTTCAGATGTGCTGATGATGCCTGTAAACTGGTTTATTGTAAATGGTAGTGAATTCAGACTGGCAATGCTGTACGTTATGTATCCATTTTCTCCCATATCTTTATCAACTGCTGAAACGGCCAAAACGCTAGAACCCACAGGGACACTTTCGTTGATGAACGAACTGTAAGAGGGCTGCTGGAACTCTGGAGTGTGATCGTTGGCATCTTCCAACCTGACAGTAACCTGTGCTTTTAAATCACTACCTTTGTTCGTATATACTTCTAATTCATAGAGGTCCTTCTCAATGATTTTCAAAGGACGAGCAGTAGTAATAAGGCCTGTGTTGGGATTGATCTTAAAATACTCAGCTTCTTCACTTGGAGATATTCTATATTCCACACCCTGTGGCTCAGGCATCAGCTTAACTACTGCAACCACCCCACCAGGAGGTGAAAATTCACTGATTGAAACATCGTATGCTTCCTTTTCAAACCTCATGGGGATACTTTCTTTCTTGGGACTAGCAATGTGGACCAGTTTGACTGCAGAAAATTTCTGAGGAGATCCTTTGTCCTTGGCTTGGAGAGTCAGGTTATAACCATACGGGAAGCTGTCCCAATCAATAGGCTTTCTTTCTTTGATTTTGTACTCATTCATCCATTTACCTTCTTTAGTCAGAAAAAACTGTTCTAGCGGATCTCCAGCCACAATAGAAACAGATTCTATTTCTCCATTGGCTCCTTCATCTAGGTCGTCAATGTTAACAACTGCATAGGTAGGCTCCTTGTCTGATGGGAAGGGAATATGGGTTACTACATTTATTGTTGGGGCATGTTCATTTATACGTTCAATGTGAACATAAAGCTTGGCAGTACTGCTTACGCCATTGTTTCCATAAAGCTTCATCCCACGGTCCACAGCCAAAATCTCAAGATCGTATCTGTTTTTCTCATCATAGTTTAACCGGCCACTTAAGGAGATAACACCACTCGTAGGATGAACTGAGAAGAGATCAACTTTGTTTTTGAAGTAATAATAAAATTCACCATTGGACCCAATATCCGCATCTGTTGCGGTCACCTGTGCAATGCTAGTCCTTAAAGGAGTGCTTTCTGCTATTGTGACAGAGTAAGTGGTTGGTGAAAACAAAGGTCTTAAGTCATTCATATCCAAAACTTGGATGTTCACTTTTGTCCATGCTTCCAAGTCCTCTCCTCTGACAGATCCTTTCACCATCAATAAATAGTTGTCCTGGATTTCTCTGTTCAATATAGCAGAATTCCCGCCTTTAGTCCTTATTCTCAGGAAGCAAAAGTCAGCAATGATGACTTCCTCTGCTTTAAAAAAGCCCTCGTCATCACCAGACACTATCCTGTACTTGATATCCCATGAAAGGTCAGTCAAGGTAATGCCCATTCTCGTTTGACTGTTGACATAGGTCCTGGCTGCTGAATTCTCATACACCGTAGCATTGTAAGTGGAATGTGTAAAGTGAAAGCCAAGTGGGGTGGTCCCATGAGCTACCTGGCAAACAGACGCCAAGAACTTGACAATCAGGAGGGCAAGGCATGACGGAGGTGGCCGTGAGCCTGACCAGCAGCCCATATTCACCTCCATCACATCATTCTTTCACCCTGTGACAGAGACAGAAAACAGGAAATAGTTCATCAAGAGATAAAAAAAAATGTCCTGAAGTGTCATGTCAAAATTACTAAATTTCTAATTAAAAATATAATACATGTAATAACTAGTCACTGCATATTTAACAAAACAGAAAGGGAGAACACTATACACACCCACACACACACAAAAGCACCAGTTGAAGATTACATTTTCACGTGTGTGTGAGCGTGTAATATGTATGCATACTCTCACACATGCACATAATACATAAATACATGTATGCTTATATATTTTTTTAACATAAAAGCTATGAGACCCTACCACATCTACACAACCATGCACACAGTCCAGAATAATAATCACATTGAAAAAAACTAAAATCAGACACACATTTGCATAAGTTTATATACGAGGATGAATCACATACAGAAATTATTGCTTTTATTTACCAGGAGCTCCAACTAAGCTTAAACTTGTTTGTTTTCAGAGCATATTGGAAAACTCATTTTTAGTCACAATGTTTGGAAAGGAGACAGGATTTTCACTACGTATGTAGCACTGTGGTAGTCAAATGTTACCAGGTTTTTTATGGACAGTTAAGAAGGATCACACAGTTGATGAAATTTGAGCCACCAAGAACAAGTAGTACATAAAAATCACTACCCAGCCATTACTTTAATTACAGATACCTAATTACAGATACCTTCAGAAAAATCAAAATTAAGGAAGAATTCTAGCTAATTAAATGCAATTGCATACAGATATACATATGAATACGCATATCTAGATACTGAGAACAGACAAAATAGAAGAAAATAAAACTGCCCAATAAAGCTTCCAGGTGAAGACTCAGGTTAGGAAACAGTACAACTGAAATAGCCCATAGGACTTAACTCTACTCTTGCATATGTACCACAATGTATCTGTAATTATGGTCACCACTTAGCACCAAATACACTGAGTAACATAAAACAAACAAGGACACAGATGAACATTTTTTTCTGTATGTCCAACAAATGCTCCATTCGCTGCGTACTTCTGCCATCCCAACCTAAGAAGGGTAAAGACCCCTTCCAATCTACTGCCTGTCCTGCTGCCAACGGGCTATCCCAACCAGCAAGAGCATAAACCCATCCTTGCTCAGGTGGAGTTAATTTGAGCTTGCACCACATTTCAATTTGTCAATCCAAGCAGAATTTGTCTACAAATAAGGCACATGGCTCCATCGTCGGCAACCTGTCTCAATCTAGTCTGTCTCACTCCAGCTACCTCAAAGAAGTGAGAGCCTTTCCATTGTTTTTAAAAAACTCATTATTAATGTAAGTATTCAAATACAATTAATAAGCAGCTATTTGGGGAAGATTTGGAGTTCCTCCATACAGTCCTGTTGTGGAATAGGCCCCGTGCTGCAGTTCAGGGATCTAAACTGGGAGGTTAAACGGAGACAAGGTAAGCAGAGACACTGGCTGAAGGCTGCTGGAGGGTGCTGCAGAAGCTGTGAGCCAGGCTCCCGCTTCTTGCTTCCCACTGAAAGGAGGGGAAAGGAGCCTGAGGAAACTAGGCAGGTGCCTGCAGTGAGACAGTGTGAATAAGCTTCTTTGTTACAGAGTGCATTCACTGCTACTCATGAAAATCATAAAAATCAATTTTAAAAGGCAATTATTGAAAGACCCACTGCACACATACATTGTTCTCATTGTCATTTAAAAGCTACTTGAAAACGTAGCTTTCTCCAAGCTAGAATACAGTAGAAGAGGATAGCAAAGTTGTTGATAATGACAGGGGTTAATTTGAATTTCCAACATGATTTCAACATCCCCTAGGAGATTTATAAATTTCATGCAAGTTTTAGAATATGCATCCACGTTAGTTATCACTTCCAATATAACTGAATGACTATTGCACTTTTAAGCACTAACGACAATCAATTTAAGGCACTGATGTTACAATGTTCACACAAAACACTTAACTTCCTGATCCCACAGTCTATATCCCATTGCTTAACACGTTAATCAACTGGATCAATTATCAAGGCACTCGTCTTTCAGTACACTTATTTTAACATGCAGATCTCCCCTCTCAACTTATTTCCTTCTTATTTTCTTTCCTATTACACCAACAAAATAAGAAAACTCTTTAAAAAGAAAATTAAAATATAAGATTATATCACCTCTTGGACCTGAATTCCCCAGTAACAGGTGAATCCCCCCAGAACTACTTGTAGCAGTTCCTTTTCTGAATACACCCACTCAATTGTTGTGCACGTACCATGTGAGTCCTGTGAATAACATTTCAATCCATACAGTTTATACATTGAATATGTACAATTCTCCAATATACTTTGTGTATGTGAGAGATCAGGTCTCCCCGTGCTCCCCACAATGCTCACATTGATCCCCAAGAGACCCAGGATGGAATTTTTCTACTTCAGCTAGGAAAGATTTTTTTTATTACTGTTATTGTCATTTCACTCAACTAAAAGATCAGAGCAGTGGCACGTTATTTTTCAGCACAGCAAACATTCATCAGCTTCATCCACCAGTGTGAAAATATCAAAGTCCCTTATTTTCATGAGGCTTTATGTGAATCACTTTGACTACTGCCACTAAAAGCTGCTGCTTCAGCCTAGCGTGGGACGAC